CCTTGTAGCTGACCCTGGGGCTTTAGTGAGGCGCTGAGGGGCCTTGTGGTCTAAAGTTATAGAAGCATCTGCATTTATCCAGTTTATAAGAATTTGGCATTTTCCAAGGCTGCAACCACTTGCTTGTGTTTGTACAGTTTAACCCACAGCACAAGGACTGTCAGATAACAATGGGCCACACAGCTCTGGCCACAGGTGAGCAGAGCCCCGGGGCCAGCAGGATGCTGCCACTTCTGCCGGCTGCGACGTCAAGGCCTCAGATGGATGCTGCTTTGGAATGAAGCAGAAATGGTGGCTTCCCTCTGATATCAGCTCTGTTCCCTAAAAGCAGTGTAAAAGCCACACTGCACTCCCGGCAGTGGCTGCTCATTCTGGGTGCCATGTCTGAAGCACAGCTGCAGGAGCCAAGCTTTGTCAGGTCCTGCCCCAGGCCAGCAGGAGAGCTAAGTGCAGACACAGGATGAGAGCATGTCCTTCAGCACGTCTAAGCCGGATGTACTGGTCCCTAGCAAAGAGTAACTCATGAATTCCTCCTCCAGCACAGTAAGGTCGAGCCTGCTGGGGCCAAATCACTCACCCATAATAGTATCAAGAAATGCCAACAAGAAAACACTGGAGAATAAACAAAGCAAGGTGCTTCAAGGAAGGGCCAATGCTTGGAATAGAAAAGGACATTTTACAGCTTTTATCCACAACTCTGTGAAGTGGGCAGGAAACCCAAACTCTGGAAATAAACCAGCAATGTTCTGACTTCAGGTGCAAAGGACAGCTCACAGCCCTTGTGAAGTGAAGAGTGTCCATGGAGAGAAGGATGAAATGGACATCTGAGAGCCTCAGTCCAATGTCTGCCTCTCTGTGGGTGCTGGGCTAAGGATGAACATGCTGAAGCCTCATGCACGAAAACTCAGTTTCTTTTTCCAAATGTATATGGACTTTATTTATAATAAACTACATACAGTAAGAAGTTATGAAACAAATCAAGAAAGCCATATGTAAAAGTTACATTCAAAATGCTTCGCTCATTTGTATTTGGCAACCTTAAAGACTACCCCATCTATGTGAGTCTAAGGTTTTGTACCTAAATCATTCTCTGTCACATCTTGTATTTGTCAACTTAAGAAATATCTTTCTAGACCTTAAAAGACTTTCTTAAATCCTAAACAACTTAAGCCTAGCTGTGAAACTATAACTATCTAGCCTTCAACCCCATCAAGACTTGAGAAGAAATAGAATTATTATTTAAGTAGGAAGTGCAGGCAAGCAGCTTCCAAAGCCAAGACATGACAGAGGTTTACTGCCTGGTCAGTCACCCATTCTCTCTCTGGACCATTGGAGCATCACCTTCAGCCTTCTGGCCCAGTGAAAACTCAGTTTGGGGCTCAGCCAAATGAACTGCCCGAGAGAAACTTGAGCATTCCCACGTTACACGGCTGCGGGAGGTGCCTGCTTAGTGCAGGTTCCAGGCCTTGCCCAGCAGCTTCAGCATGACCTTGGAGCTGCAGTGCCTGGGCTCTGCAGGCACCAGACAGCACGAAGCCTCTCGGGCACCCGGGTTCTCACACTGCGGCTCCGAGGACAGGCACAGTCCCCAGACCATGCTCAGCCCTCTGTTGAGAAGGCTGTGAAAGTGAGAGGCTGGGAGCAGCTGCCACTGAGACATGGAGGTGACAGGCCACAGAGGGCAGGCCATCGTCCCCAGCTGTCTCCTGTGTCCACATGGTCCTGGCTTCTCTTCGTCACTGCCTCTAGCTCTCCACATGGCTCACCAGCACCATCAAGCCTTGAACGCATATCTGTGAAAGACCTGTTGGACATTAGTCAGCAGAAACGTGCTAAGCTGGTCAGGGGAAGAGAATGCCGTCAGTCACTGGTGCCTGACATTCTAGACAACGCTGATTGTTTTTGTTGCTGTAACATCTGTAGAAGCTGGCAGACAGCTCACAGGAGCTCCGTGAACATCGCAGCAGCGTGGAAGGCATATCCCTGCCCGACTAACTCTTCCTCACTCTGCCATGCAGGAAACAGGCAGCAACTGGCTTTTCACACCCAGGATCAGACAATGTGACAAAGCCACAAAGAATGCTCTGCCTTATCATCCGTCAGCCAAGGGACTCTTCTCTCAAAAATGAACACAATATACTGGAAAAAAAAAAAAAAGAGTAGGCCTGCTTTATTCTAAATCTTCAATTAACAGGCGCTTAATGGAAACATTTTAAGTTCTAAGTGAATACACAAGTCTTTAAGGATTAAAAATGTGCTGTAATAAAACTTCTTATCTAAATCACTTACAAAAAAACTGATAAGGAAGCTCTTAATTAGCTTAGCTCCCAGATTAAAATTTAGGTGACCATAAAGCCAGACCATTGCCTATAACAGGGCAAATAAATTCTGCCAATTCTAAGTTAACATTTTTAAAAAAGCTTTTAAGGAGAGTTTTTTAGGGAAAAAAGCATGAGAGATATGCTAGCTTACATGGAATGAAGAAAGAAATATGGTTTTTATTTTCTGAACGTAGAAAATTTTCCCATGCAGCCCTGGCTGGTCTTACACTTCCTTCACGGCTGAGAATGATCTCGAATTCTGGTCCTCACTTGTCCATCTCCTGAGTGCTGGGATCACGAGCCATCGTGGCTGCTTTTCTGCACTGCTGGAGAACAATCCCATATTATGCAAGCCTTCGGCCTGGGCGACATCCCCTGCTCAAGAACTAAATCATAGTACAGAGAAATGCGCATTCTAGCACCGAGAAAGGGCCAGGTGTGTGCGCAATCCCAACAGCTGGGAGACAGAGGCAGACGGTGAGTTTGAGTCTGGTCTGATGACAGCAAGACCCTGTTTCAGAATAACGAAGTTTTCTGCGCTTCAAGTTAGACCGTATAGCTCAAGTTTTACCCGCTGCTGTTCACCTTGCACGCACCGAGTCTGAACCTTGGCCCAGGGCGATCTACAGGGCCACACTGAAGTCAGCACAGCCGGTAAAATCCAACTGTTGCTTTCTTACTTCCTTTATAGTAACCAAGATTTCTTCCCTGTATTTTATGTGACTTTTATTAAAACACAATGAATCACAAGGCTCCAATACTTAAATATATAGTGTATATATAAACAGAAACGTCCTTCTCCAAAGCTAGCCACTGTTAACAAACTCAAGTACACATTTCTCTTCCAAAACCTGTGTATACATATCTATGAGCATATGTGTGTTAAGCCTAACTTTAAGAAACTTCACACTCTTCTGTATGCATGCACACATTTCCATGTTCCTGCATATACACATGGAATATTCTGCATTTTTCTGGTTTTCAAAATTGCTGTTTTAGAAAATTTCCATATAGCCACTTACAGACCTGGCTCATTTGTAAGGCTATGTAATAGTCCAGTGCGTGGCTGCTGTTGATGCAGATGTGAGCTTGGTCCCCAGCTGGCTACTGGCTTAGAAGGTCATGCAAGGACTGGACGTGGGGCCTAGGCTGGCAGACGCAGGGCCCTGCACGGCTAAGGGATGAGAGCCAGCCGTGAGCCCTGCCGGAGCACTCTGCTTCCTGGTTGGCCAGTGATGGGATATGAACAAGCAGCTTGCCACCCCTGCTGCCCACTGTCACTGTGCCCACTGCAAAGCCGAAATGAAGGAAGTCCTCCTCCTCCCAGCTGCTGCTGGGCCGCATTTTGTCCCAGCAACAGGGAGATTAACACAATGCTTGTGCTCTAGGCGAAGCACCACCCTTGGTCCCAGACTGGTAAGTTCATAGTGCTTAGAGGCTTCCGCTCTTAAGTGAGCCTATGGCCCATTCAGACTGCATCTCTGTCCACAAGAGAAGCGGACTCGCATGACTTCACAGGGCTACCTGCATGCGCACCGCTTCTGTGCTCCCGACAGTGAGATGCCGCCTTTCTCAACACTCTGCTTCTGCTGTTGGCTCCCACATCAGTCTCTTCTCCTCCAGGGCCCCTTTCCTGTGCTCGCTTCAAGACTATGCTGGGACCTGGCATGGCTGCTTAATCAAAGGTGCATGTTAATAAAGATATTTCCAAAGAGCTCTGGCTCTATGAAAAGAGCCACCGTGAAGATAACAGGACCATTTCAAGCCCTGCGTGGGCGTGAGCGAAGCTGTGAGTGCTGGCCACAAAGCTGGCCAGTGCAGAGCAGCCCACCCTCAGAACCACGGCGTGTACTGGGCGCTCACTGGATCACAGGCCCATCTAACCATCCCAACACACCGGTCCACGCCAAAGACCCAAGAAAGCACACAGTTGTCCCGCAGGTGCCAGCACCGTCAAGTTTATTCTGTGAAATAAGGCAAAGGTACAAATAACTCAGCAGAGACCAGATATAGTTAAGAGACCTTTCACAAGAAAAGATATTTAGCGACAACTGTATTCTCAAGAATTCTTGGATTATAAACTCCACTGCTTCAGCCCTTACAAAATCACATACAGCAAGGAAAATTTAATTTTTAAGAGCCTCATGACATGTTTCCAGTAAAGCAAAGCAAGTCAGTAGGAAAGTCAGTTTCACTTGACACTTGGGTGGATCTTTCCTTCAGCTGGCACAGACGGAGGCTGCTGAGTATCCCAACAGGACTGCCCAATTCTTTTAACACTCTCAAGTTTGAATTTGGCCATCCAAATTCAGTTTCTTTGCACTGACTGCAAAGAAAAAGCTATTCTTATTCTAACGATGGAAAAAGCAGGCACTCCTGGCCTCGTGTTGGCTTCTCCTACATAACCTAGTTCGTGTATGCGGCAGACAGGGTCTCTGGGGGTGCCTGTCCTGCTCCAGCAGGACCCCCACGTCCTCCTACAGGCAAGGATGCTGAAAACACAACAGTCCATCTTTCTGGCATTTAATTGACTGTGACATAATTTTATATTTTCCAAAAAAATTTCCTAATTAACTATTAAAAATGTAGTAGCCCAAATCATCAAGCCATGATTTGTACTGGTCTAGTTTGTATTTGTGTAATCTGCTTTTCTCCCGGACAAACAATGTTGGTAACAATCCTCTCTGTTCTCTGGGGTGGGGGTTGGGAGGGTCTCAGCAGGCAGCTACCACATGGAGCTTTCTTGTAGTTTCAATTTCCCCCTCATTTTAAAACTGTCAGAAAGTTATAAATTCAATGGTGGTTTCTGCCAAGTGGCTCAGACAACATTATAGAAATTTTTATAATCTTACTTCAAGTATAGAAATGATTAGATTAACATAATAGTAAATAAAAATAAACACAAGTTCTAGCTCATTTCTGGTGCTACGAGACATCACAGCACCTGCTTTAAATGCAGTGGTAGAGGCAACCCAGTCTAAGCACCACGGAAATCGGCTGTTCAGGAGAACGCAGTGTGCCTTGGTTTACCATGAGGAGCCCTGGTCAGTCAGTCACCAAGTCCTGGTTCCTGGAGGAGGAGGAAGAGGGGCAGGCTCTGGGCCAGGCGTCTCAGTACTTGAATTACTGAGTGTGTCCACGGTGTTTCCACAGAACCCTACATCACACCCAGAAGGTTCGAGAAACTGGTGCTGTAAGCTGTAGGCTCCCACGGAACACACTGAACACAGCTTTGCAGCCTCACACATGAAACAGGAAAACCAGAAGAGTGACTGCTGGTGGCTGACTCCCGCCTTTTCAATCAAAACTTCTCCTTTGACTCCACTTCAAAGTGAACTAGTCTAAACTCCGTTTCAGAAATGAGTATTCTAAATTGGTTTTTACATAAAAGTACTTGGGTGACTAAGTTGGTTGGTAGAGATGGTAAATACACCCGAAGACAATAAAGTGCACCTGCACATCATTTGACATAACAGACCCAGGAGCCGCTGACACTGGCATAGAAGCCTCAATACGAAAAGCACCTAATTAGGTAAAACGAGAAAAACCTTAGCTGAAAAGCCACAATTTTTCAGTACATCATAAGGACAAATAACCTTTATTTAAGGCTACTATTAATTAGGAGACTTTATAGCTCAATTCTGTGTAGGAGAAAGGAAACCACTCTTCTGGAAGGCACTGCCTGGCTTAACTGTGCACGAGACTCTCTAAGTGCAGCGCCCAGGAGGCGCCTGGCTCCCGGCTGCACCTTCCTCTTTCTGGCTGTGGCACACTGCTCAGAGTGGAGCCTGTCACGGCGCTCCCACCGTCTGCTCAGTCCACGGTGTGGCAGATCTCCTTGACCTTCTGGTTGAACTCTTCGGGCTGATCTGCATACACATAGTGGCCTGCCCCGAGGATAGCCTGGAAGGAAGAGCCACGCCTGTGAGTGAGGCAGCAGCTAAGCAACAGCTCCAGAACCAAAGCTGCACTGCACTCTCAGAGATGACGTGCGACACAGCTGAAAACCTCTGCCGATCTCAATCAAAAAGCTTTGAGATAAACATCTTAACCGATTCCACCGTGCAAGAGCCAACAGAATGCACTCTCAGCTGTGGGCTAACGCAGGAGCCAATACAAAACTGTGCCCTGTGCTGGGAGGTGAGTGTGAGTCCCCTCAGTGTCTCCAGAGAGACTGGGAAGGCCCTCAGAAAGGTGGCCCACTGCTGGGACACGGAGTGTCAAGGCTCACACCCGCCCACATCCCCGATGAATGGCTGAGTGGAGTCCAGACCGGGAAGCCCAGGGAGGCCACACTCACTATTGTCTTCACGTAGGACTTCGGCCGCAGGGACTGGATGCTGCTGCCAGAGTTGCCATCTATGCAGGAGCGGGCGCCGAAGATGACGGTCACGGGAATGTCGGGGTGCAAGCCGCCAATCCGCAGCAGCATGGGCCGCTTCGCCCACCCGTATGGAATCGTCATGTTTTTGAAGGCAGTCTCACCACTGTTGAGACAGGGAGAAACACACTGTGATCTGCGGGCCACAGCACACTCATCCTTAGCCTGCCCGGCATAAGGAACACATTCGACTTTTGACCAATTTACGAGATAACGGACAGGGGAAACCCACGCATTACTGTCATTAGGTAAACGGCTGCAGAATAACGCAATAATTCCGTTTTCTTCCAGTTCAACTAAGAAGTGAAGCTGGGAGGAGTGGGTGCTCTGAGGAAGCCCCGAGGAGCTGCTGAACAAATCCAGGCAGACAGGAGCTCTGAGCAAGCAGCGGGACAGTCACACAGCACCAGGCTCCTCGACCCGCCGAGAACCTACCCTGCTCTAGCCCACTGCTGCTGCAGCGCCGTCTGCCCAGGGAGGCTGTGGCCTGTGGCCATGCCTAAGTGTGCGTCTGCTGAGGTAGTGTGCAGCACACCACTGTGCCATCCCTGGCCTACCGACACCAGACTGTCAATGCCAGGACTGGCAGTGGCGCAGCCCACAACTGCCGAGGCAGAGCCTTCACCTGAGCTCAGGGGTCACCGTGCTCGTATCCCGGGCTGCCTTCAAACTCCTGAACCACTGCTGACACACCGCAAACCACAGATCTGACCCCCTCCTGAGGCTCCTCCTAGAACTCAGGCCTTGGCCCTCTGGCTTTCTACTGCTACCCTGCGCCTGGTACCTATGAGGCCAATTTAGAAACCATACGTTTGCTCCCCTTGCCTTTCCTGGCTGCCTGCCCTTGTTTGAGTGCTCTCTCTCCCCCTCTGGTCCTGAAGGTCACAAGCAGAATGCTGCCTCGCTCTCCCTGCTGCAGCCCTCACCACTGAAGCTGTTTCTTACACAGATGCGCAGATGCCAGGAGCTGCTCAGTAAGGAAGGCCGTAGCTGCCAAGAGAACTGAAGACTGCAGCACAGCCTTTTCACACAGACACGTGTGCAGAGACGCCCGTACGCAGACCACTTCCTGTGTTTAGCTGGCACTCCCTTTGTTGTGAAGCCTTCACACTCAGGTTGGGAAATAAGCCTAAAGGAAAATTCTTTTCCCTTTCAACTAGACCCCCTCTTTGAGGTTCCTAAACCTAGCCAGCCTCAGATTAGACACAGACGTTTAGGGGAAGAAACTGTATCTTATTTGCCAGGCCATTCAGAAAACACAATGCTTACACACGGTCACTTTATGAATGGTCAGAGAATTTGTAGTGGAAATATGTCTTTTTAATGTATTTACCAATAAACACAGAGAAAACTTTGAAGCACAAACAGTGAACTTAACCCCACAGTTTTGTAGACACAGCTGGGCAGCTGCACATATGAACTCACGGCAGTTGTGGCAGCTCACAAGACCTGCACAAGCTCACACAAGACGAATCCCAATATGGAGAGGGGAGGCGCCTGACGCCCTGCCTGTCTGGGGAGCCACGGGCAACCGACAGCTCCCAGGAAAGGGAGATCCGGCGTCTCTAAGCGTGGTCCCTGGCAGACCGACCACCTCCCCGAGAGGGCCACGCACCCGGAATATGAGCAGCACCCACCGTGCTTGATGGGTTAACTGAGTAGGGAGGAGGGACAGTCACGGGAGGAGTTGGGGAGAGGTGAATATGGAAGACCTAACACACATGAGAAGCCTCACCTTGGGGTCTGGACGTTGCAGTGGTAGATGTACTCTGTCACAGTGTCGTCTTCAAACATAGACGAGTACTTCCGTTTGAAGTCGGGCCTTAAACGCTGTACTAGACTTAACCCTGTTTGACAGAAAATCAAAACACACATCTTCTAAGTCATAACTTAATAAGAAATAGTGTTTGCTTTTATAGCAAGTGCCATATGCACAAACATCCACATGTCTCAAACATGAACTGCAGGCTGGAAGCTGCAAAGCCCCGAGGACAGGTGAAGTGAGGACTGAGGGTTCTCGCCCTGGGCTTGCAGCTGTGCTTTAGAAGCTCTAGCTACCATAACATCCCAGAACTTGTTTTTGTAGAATAAGATGTTAAGTGCGGTCAGTGAACAGAGCAGCCTAACACAGTCATCTTGTTGGTGTGTATTCTTCTCCTTCCAGAACAACACACTAACAATGTTAGGGTCCAAGTAGGCAAACTAGGATATTTAAATTTTTCCTCTATGATAGAATAAATATAAAATAAACCCAGAACTTCTGTTTAGGAACTCAGATATTCCCTCCTGACTCACACGGATGGGACAAGGCATCAAGGACAACAGGAAGAGGAGAAGATGTGTCTTGTAGGCACAATTGTTTCTTCTAGGGTCCCAGACATAGGCCAGGATAATGGTACACACCTTCGCTGCTGCCACTCAGATAAAGACAGGTGGATCTGGTAACTTTGAGGTCAGCCTGGTCTACACTTTGGGTTCCAGGCCAGCTAGGGCTACACAGTGAGACCCTGTCTCAAGCTGAGAATCACCATCACCAGAGGCGCAGAAACAAACGCCAACACCACTAAGGAAGCGCCTACAAAGTGCTAGAGCCACCCACGCCAAGCTGCTCGTTAGGGAGCTAATAAAAGGCCTCAGGGTTGAAGCCATTTATCAGACATTCAGGTATTTACTGCTGAAAACAACATGGCCTGGACCGTCATCTCCTGAGTGAACAGGGAAGGAAGCTCCTGCGGCTACCTGCTAAGACGCTGTAGCTGACAGTCTAAACACGAATACTCAGAATAAACAAACCCTCAGGGCAAGTAATCAGGAGTCCCAAAACGTTCATGCCAAGGATGCTTTCCTCTTCCGTCAGCTGGCACAAGGGAAGAAAGAAGAAATCTGAGTTTGGAGCGCCGGTCAGCTCCACAGTCACTCCCTCAGCTTTGCAACCTTCTCCTCAGCTCTCACCAGTAGCTGCACACTCTCAGAGGTCAGCAGATGTTAGCACTTCACGCTTCACTCCTGCCCGTATTGGACACTGCATTCACTTGGAATTTAGGGTGCCCAGCATCTCCCTCTGTCTGTTTTGATCATTACCTGTAATGTTTTATAATATAAAAGCACCTCTGAAGGAAAGTGATTGGCTTCATCTTGTTATTCAGCCTGACACCTACTAAGGCCTGTCAGGAAAAATGAGCTCGGATTTGTTTATGACCCTGACTAGCAGTGGTGATCAGAAAACCCAGATGGTCCCTGTTTGTGATGCTTCAACTTAGGACTGCAGAGAGGCAAAAGTTGTTCGTGAAGATCCTATTTTGAATGTTGACGGTTTCCTGGCCTGACATGTGGCCGTGATCTTCTTGAGCGGCTGGGCGCTGTCCTGCTGCTCTGTAAGCTGACGATGGCTCTAATGGGTGCAGCCCTCTTGCAGCCCAGTGAGAAGCACGTGCCCCTCTGCTGTGTACGGACACTCTTCTTTCCCAGGATGTGAACACTCACCAAAGGGCCCTGCGATCCTGAGGCCAGCCAAGGGGTTAAAGGGAGTCAGGGCTGCCCCCAGGGCTCTGATCCAAACTGGAATTGGCCTCTCTTGATCAGCAAGATCTGGTCGCTCAGGGAAACCCCACGGCTCTACTAAGATGAGGTGACTGACCCTGTTGAGGAAAAGCAGATTCAGGGCATTTGGCAAATGTACCCTTGAAGCGTAAATCGCTAACAGTGGACTGAACCTTTTAGAGAGAAGACGAACTGTTAATCAGGCCAAACCCGCTTTTGTCATACCAACTTCACACGGAAACGATCTGAGGGGTTTATGGTAAAGAGAAGACTTTGCTTATATGTAAACTTGGGTAGCTAAAGACATACCAAAGTAGAATATAGAACTATTTCCTGACAGGAAAAGACAAAGGAGAGGAGGAAAGCAAGGAAGAGGAGAGGGTTCTCTGAAGATGACTCTAGCACTGTCCACTCAGAAGAACCCGCTGCCTCTCAAGACTGACACTGCTCAAAGGACGAGACATGAACACCACACTCATGAAACGGCCACAAACACCAGCAGCAGTTAATCTGTGAGACAATAACTGTAACCTTTTAAGGCAAGTTAGGATTCCCCACAAACATGATAATACTATATCCTGTTCTAAGAAAGCATGGTTTGGTTTGGGAGTCTGGGCTATGGGGAAAGGAGTGTGTCTATTTCCTCCACCCATGCTATCATGGTATACCAGCCACACAGTCTTCCGAATCCATTCCCAAAAGTTCTTTACCAGCCAACGTCTTTAGTCCAACTTCAGACAAATAGTTGTTACACCAGTAAGAGGTGTAATTCTGTCTTCTAAAACTTATCCTGATTAAGAAGACTCAGAACTGTACATTGCGTCCAGGTAATAATTACCAGGCATAATCTCTTCTATTCATCATAAAGATGGTGATTATGCACCACCCCACCCCTGACAAAAAGCATTTGACTGTGACTGCAGTCACCCAGTGCCAGGCGAACGTCCAGAGTGAGCGACAGTCGCAGTGAGTCCACATGGTTTCATTCCTCCCATGGAAATCTGCCTTATTATCTGCCAGCACATGTAAGGATGAGAAACAATTTGGTATTTTTTTTTCCCAAGCACACAGCTTCAAAACATAGTCCCAGAACAGCGCTCGGGACCGCTCATCAGCGGGGAGGAAGCTGACACACAGCGGACACACAGCGGACACGCGCCAGCTGCAGCGCTGCTCATGAGGAACAAGGCTGACCCTACTTCCCACTCTCGGATGCTCACAGAGGCCACCAAGCCACCGTGCAGGTCTCCAGCTCCACAGCAACCCTCAGCCAGTGCAAACACTGTCTTCCAGGCTGTACAGCCCTGAGACCTTTGGCGGGGCAGAACTATGGTTTGGAGGCAGTTATATGTCACAGGATGGTTGAGCACACCTGGTGTTTTCAAGCCTGAACAATTTTAATATGTTTTAATGGTGTATGAGAAAAAGACCGGAAATACATTTTTTCGTGAAAACAAAATGGCAGGCTCCTTTAAATTCAGAGAGTGGGGAAGACAGGCCAGAGGTAGGAGTAGAAGTGATGGAAGGGCCACATTACTGAAAAGAATACACATCCATGGAAAGAAGCAGCTAGCAATATTCACTACTGACACCTCCTAAACAAAGAAATGAACTCTTGATTTAAATAACCCACTAATACCTGATGGGCAAGTCTCACCTGGCTCCAGTAAGGGAACTGTTGCTTTTGCTTGTCTTGATTAATTTTCAAAATATTATACGTCTGGAAAACGCCAGCTCATTACACTGTGCAAAGTACATGAACTAGGATGAGGAATCTTTTTCTTTGTTTTTGGAAAGTAGTAAATTGACCCAGGGTTGTTCAAGTCTGCCTTCAGGACCCAGAGTGGCCAAGGCGGCAGATGCTCAGTAAGCCTGCAGTCTGGTTTTGGGCACCGATCATACTGCTGCTTGTTAGGATAAAATTCCAGAAGTCATTACAGAGGTTTACTTTCAATCAAATGTTCTATTTTGAATTGAAAAATACAACAAGCGTGAGCATTGTTTTAGAATATGTATGTATAACATATACATATATGTTTTATAACACTTGTAGCAAAAAAGTTTGAAAACAAATTTTCAAAGCCTCCAACATGAGACATGCAGCTAGACAGCATCCACTTTAGCCGCATGTAAAAGCCTCCCAAGATGACCTCCTGGCCCTCACCGTGAGCCTCCTGAACGTAGCCCACGCAGAGCACTTGGTACTCTATGGCAAGCGTCCAGGAAGCACAGCTGTCACAGCGAGTCTAGTGTGCAGGGGCCTCACTGAGGAATTTTAGTTTTAGCTCTTTTCTTTTGGAGACACTATGTAGTCTGGGCAGCTTCAGCTCTGTGGTGCTCCTCCTGCCCTTCTGCCTCCCGAGAGCTAAGGTTATACACGGCCCCACCGGGACAGGCCTGGCAGCTCACTTGTAGGTAGGAATGGGTCTGAGAAGACAGCAGAGCTGAGCCATCCTATCAGACCTCTTCCCCAAGAACTAGCAATTCAACCACAGGGTAACAGAGGCAGAGGGGCAGGAGTAAACGGACAGCCGTCAGTTCTAAAACAACAGGGTATTCTCCATGGCAGTCAGCGTGGAGTGCGCAGCACACACAGCGCTCACTCCAAGGGCAAAGCAATGTGTCCTCCCCACAGTAATGTGCCGGATGAGACAGTGCTCGAGCTAAACGAGCAGGTGACTACATCCACTTGACTTTTATAGCAGGCAGCCAGCTGCCAGCTAGAGCACAACCAGAACAATCAACCCCAGAACTAAACAGCACCAGGAACTGTACAGGGCCTCCCTGAAACAAGGAAAGAACAAGGAAGACGACCAGGAAGAGCTCCAGTCCCTACGGAGGAGCCTCCTCCAACTGCAGGCAGCCCCGGGGCTTCCTGTTAGCCCACAGCACTGGGAGAAGGGAGGACCTGAACCCAGCGGCGCTCCTCCAGCTCCAGGCGAAGGGCATCAGTTGGGACTGACTTCTGAGTACACAACAGAAGCTGTGCATAGATATGATTCTCCAGCTCACGGGAGACACCAAGTGCCCAGCTCCAACCACGACGAGGCTTCCCCGCAACAGGTACACTGTCCTTATCATGACCCGGATATGTGGAAACCCAGTTATTTTGAAATTCACCTGTGTCTAATTTTATGAGTTAACAAATACAATTACGCCAGCATGGTGGCACACACCTTTGATCACAGGAGGCAGAGGCCGACAGATCTCTTTGAGTTCAAGACCAGCTTGGTTGATGCGGCCAGCTCCAGGACTCAAAACCAAATTCACCCCAAGTAACGTAACTTGAGTTAGAAAAAAAAAAAGACCAGAAGGCTATACTCTTGAGTATCCGACACTGTGGAGTGGGAAGAGGAACTTAGACGGCTGGCAATTGACACATCCTCACATCCGCTCGGGACACTGCGCAGAGCTCGTGGCCCCACGGTGCTCTGGCTTTACTTCCACACTAGGCACAAACTCATAACAAAATATCTGAAATGGGGTCCACCTCATGAGGATCAGCTGTTGCTCTTCTCTCCCACAGATGGGTTTTAAACATTCACCGAGTTCTTCAGAGCATTCCACTACTGCAAATGAAAATTTCACCAACTAATTTAATTTCTAACGAGCAGCCAGCTGGAAGGGGTTAAGAGTTTAAATGCAGAGGTTGGTGGCCACAGTCTGCTCCACAGCCTCACCCAGAGATGCCACGGCACACGGTGACAGCTGCCTAAACAACACTGCTGTCCTGACTGTGTTTCTTCTCTTTCCCACAAGTATCACCGAGTTCTCACTATGAGTAGGGTGCAATCAAAGACTAGCCTTAAAATGCCCACTAAGAAAAGAAAGTTTTGTTTTGTTTAGTGAACAGGTCTTTTTGTTGACAAGAACGGCACTGTCAAGCACATAAGGAACTTTGAATTCACCAGAAAACTCTGGTAGAAAGGCTGAAGTTTGCACACCAAATCTGTGGAGAAAAGGAGCTGCAGCAGAGACAAAACACAGCACACTGAACGGAGTTGCCCAGTGCTGTGCGGACCACGGGCCTGCACCGGGCAACAGGGTGGCCTCCTGGTGAGTTTGGACAGTCTGAAAATGACCATGGCATGCCTCACCCACAACCATCACCCACAACCCACGATCTCACCGATAGGAAAATCCACCAGCAACACAAAAACACCAATATCCCTCTCTTCTGTACAGAGAAGGCCCAACACAGAGCTAACTTTTATTTTCTTTGGACCTAAGCGTGACCTTCACTAGAACAGTCATATCATAGCAAACAGTACAAAGACGTAGACGGATTCTCAAGCAAAACACCCACTAATTAATGAACTGAAAACAGCTCTGGCTGCACGCGGTGGGATAAGTCTACAATCCCAGCTTTCGGGGAGAAAAAGGCATGAGGTCGAAGTTCAAGGCGAGCATGGGCTACATAGTAAGTTAGAAGTAAGATCCTGTCTCAGAAACAGTCATCTCTTTAAAGGCCTGTAATGCAGGAGTTTGGAGAATGATATGGTCAGAAACCACGGAAGGTGCACTCTGGAGGAAACTAAAGGTCAGAGCGCACATGACTTGCTCAGTCACAGAGGTCTCGCCTGCTTCCCATTATAACTTGCTATAATTTAGTGGAAAGTGGAAAAGCCTGCTGCATCCAAAGGTTTAATTATAATAGTAAAAATACGCAGTAAGACCACGGTATTTCTGCGGTGGCCTAAAGTCAGACATTAGGCCTTTAATCTCAACACTAGGGACACAGAGGCAAGGCAGACCTCTGATAACTGGAGGCCATCATGGTCTACACAGGGAGTCCCAGGATGGTCAGAACAGCACAGTGAGACTGTCTCAAAAAGCTTACACATTAGATCTGGTATAATCGTGAGGAACAAGTATTACGTCCTCTATCAAATTTATCAACATACAGTACATGTAAGAAGAAAATCTGATTTCATTCTGTTCGCTATCAGACTGGCTGCCAGCTGTGGTCATCTGTGTCGGGTGTGGTCAGGCTCCGAGTAACTACCAAGAGCGGGAAGGGAGACTACACTTGGCTGCCCCTCCCCTCCTCTCCGGCCGACACTTACCTCGCTGGGTACTTCAGGGAGTAGGCCGCAGCCAGGAACCCTCCCAGGTTGTGTCCGAGCAGGATCATTTCGTCCAGCCCGAGAGCACATCTCCACTCTTCAATGGATTCCACAAACTGATTCTCCACTTCTTCTGCGTCGCCGTTAAACCTAGGTCTACTACTTCTTCCAAAGCCCAAGAGGTCAAAGGCATAGACAGGCCTGTCGGTGCTGAGATCTTCAAAGTTCAGGGCCCAAAGTCCAAGACCTCCTCCAAACCCATGGAGGAGGACAAGCGGCGTCTTACTAGAAATGTTGTGTGAGAACATCAGTGTCCATATTCTGTTTCCATTAGATATGCGAACAGGCTCTTTCTTGTAAGTGCAGGGGACACCTGGTGAAAACAGAGAGCACACCACTCAGTTTCACGGCCTCTGAGTACTCTTAGAGCAGACGTTTATCAGCCCCTAAGGGAGTATACACCTGACTGAAGTCAGCAAATCTAAATGACCATGCTTTGTAGCCACGTGGGAAGACTTACCTTAGACAAGCCTCAAGTATCTGTGGTCAAAGTCTTTGGCAAGTCATGTGACCTCCTGACTTCCTTCTACTCTAGCAGGTTGATATTACATGCCTAGAACTGGAGAAGAGCTTAGTGGTCACTGAAGCCATTACTGTACAGTCTCTAGCGTTGCAGATAAACAAAAGAATAGCATCTCGACTTTGCAGAGCACTTGACAAAGGAGCATTTGAGACTGATGTCACACGTGAGAAAGTCGTGGACAGTCATCAGAACGTGGGGAAGGGTTGCTCACGCACTAAACACACACCTGTAAGTTACAGCATCTTAGCGCTTAGCAGAGAAGAGAGACCACCTCATGACCAGGCCATCTGAGTTCAAGCAATCGGCCAGAAAATAAAAATCACAGTTTTGTAGATCAAAACCCTTGTGTTCAAAATGCCATAAAACTTAATACTCTAATCCCCTCAAATTGACCAAAGATAAAACTAAAGCTGATTTACATGAAATTATCAACTGAATAGCTACACTCTAAGGAATGTCCTTAATTATCTGTGCATTCTCATGTGCAACAGACGAATTCAAGGAGCCACATGTTTCTTCCCTTTAGTCAAAGAACCAACCTTAGGTTTTGTATACATGGTGGCAACAGAGAGAAAGGCAGCATTCATTTGGATTTTTAATACATGTCCTGCCCTTAATTGGAAAGAAATTCCCCCACTTAGAAAAGGAACTGATCCAGGACTTGCAACAAGCCACATCTCCTCAGCTTTTCAACCAGGCCTGAGAAGGCCATAAAAACAATGTGTAACATGCAGCAGAATGCTTTCTGGACGTTTGGCCTGTGCTCTTGCCTGACACAGCAGGGCCAGTTCCCAGTCAGACGTCAGCACACATGCTGGGCAGCTAGCATCTTTAATAAATCTCCTACCAGAAGCTTTTCATTTTGGTAAACCACAGTGAAAATTCTGCTAGTTTTATAGAGAGCGATATTATCAGGAACACAGAATAGAAATTCATTTTTGTGTTAAAATCCACACAAGCGGGCTAAGTCCTCATTCCTAAGAATGTACCCGGTCACTGGCTCCGGAATTACCAAAGGTACAAACAAGAAGGTTCACGGGTGGCACAGACCCCGACACACAGGTGTTGACAGACACCAGCAGAAACATCAAATAGTCCCAGGAAGCCCTCCTTTACCTCCTTCTGGTGATTCTATCACTAGAAAAAACTGTAAAGGCCAGAAGTTTGGAAGAAAAACAACAGGCCGCCATGCCAACATGGACGTAAAGAATGGCACAGTCAAAGGGAACGCAAAGGAGCAGCACAGAAAGGAGGCTGAGCAAGGCAACTTGCCCAAGAGCTGGCACAGCCAGCAGCAGGTCTGGGCCAGCTTACTGGTCTAGTCTAGATCCTGGTCCGCTAAGACTGAACACTAAGAATCTTCTCTCACGTATACAGTCTGGGTACACGGCAGGGTCGTTAACACTAGTATTGCAGCTTTATCTGCCATTCATTCAAAAGATTTTATTTAGTTGCATACATTGCGAGTCTGTGCATGTGAGTGGGCGCGCGCCCGCGTGCGTACATGAGTGCGTGTGTGTACCTCAGTACCGTTGTCCGTGGAGGCTGGAGGTCCGTGGAGCTGAAGCTACAGGTGGCTGAGTGCTGAAACTAAGCCCCTGCCCTCGGCAATAACATACACGCTCCTAAGCGAGCCAGCCCTCCCGTCCCCGGTCTGCCTGCTTACTGTCTTGATGAGTGCCACAGTTCGTTTTACAAGGCGAGTACGCAAAGGTGAATCTAAGACTCCAGCCCATTAGCAAGTCTGCACCCGTGAAAACGCCCCTAAATACGTTTTCTGGCAAGTAGCCAAGGTTTTCACAAGTGTACTATTTTAACATGGATGGTCTATTATTGTCCAATAAATTAATGTTAAGTTTTTTCAATACAATTTTAATCCTGGTAAGAAAAACCAATAACTATGATCTATAAACAAAGCTCTCTGGGATCTACGACTTTAAGAGTTTAACAGGGATCCAAGACTCCAAAACAATCACTGCCCCTCCCCCGCTGTGCCACACCTGACAGAGAAGAGCAAGAAGGCTCTTCTGCCATCGGCTGACAGTTTCAGATCAGTGCCATGCAGACGGCCATTTTTGTAACCAATTCACGAAACTTACAAGAGGAAAACCTTACATTTTAACATTTTCTCTTCAGCTTCTTTAAGGTGTGATGTAGACGTTGGACACCAGGTAGGAAGCCACCCTGTGAGCCATCCTGACCTACAACACCAAAACAAAATGCAAATAGGTGAGGTCATGCTCTTCTCAACTCTAGCTACTACAACCTGAAAAGCTTTGGCAGAGCCCCCCCCCCCCCC